GCTCTCTTTCCATCGTCCTTAGCTTTTGTTTGTTGTGAGCTGTTTTGGCTTTCTCCTAAACCTCTGGGGGATGCCAAGTGATGGTTTTGATAGGCTGGTGATGGCTGTGAGCGAGAGTTTGCCGATCGGCGTCGTCCTCGCTATAGCAATGAAAATACTAGTTACTACGCACCTGGCAGATATCACAACACGTCGGAGCGTCCAGGAGCAAAGGAATCTTGGGTTTTCACTGGAATCTAGTTCCTCCAGCATCGTGTAGCCCACCGTCGCTGAATGGCCGTCCAGAAAGGTCGAACCTGGTCTTCTGCAGCATCTCGCAGTCCTGCGAGGCACACTGAATACGCCTGTCATGTATTCTACAAATAAAAATCACGAAGTAGTAGATTCTATAGTGATGAGTCTATCCTGTACGCTGCAAAAGACACAGGAAATGTGACTGGTGTCTGTACACTGGACGCCAATATCCCAGTCTTCTCCTGCAGGATCTGTTTGGCATTGACATACCGGTATGCAGTGGGTCGACATTGGCCTGGTTTGGCAGCTATCTGCCTGGGTGGATGTAGCAGGTTTGCATTGGCTCATCGTCCAGCCCGACATTTTCTTGTAATTGTGGAGTACCGGCAGGGTTTGAGAGGTTGCTCATGCTGTGAACACATCTCTACTGCCTGTCTCGCCCTGGAAGTGCCGTCTCGCCACTTCCTTGCTCTACAGTCGTGCTTATTTCGCTTTGTTTCGTGGTGCAGCTCAAAACCTGCCCAAAAAACTGTGAGCTCGCAACATGGCATGGACAAATTGCGCCACTGATGCTGGGTGACTAAAACCGGGATAGTCGAGTAAGCGAGTTTACTCCCTGGGCCATGGCAAGATCTGTTCAGCGCGGGCTATTCCAACCTCCAAGTGCATAGTCACCGATCGATCCATGCGATGGTGGTTGACCTACAAAAGAGCCAAGGTCTACGAGTACTACTAGTGGATGCTGTCTACATGCAGTCAACACAATCAAAGTACCTCAGTATGCCCCAGAATAGGGCATGTGCATATCTATAGCATGACACAACAGGGGTTCTGGCGGCACCTGTCAAACAAGCAGTAGCTACTAGTGCCGGCTACCTATTAGAGGCTAGCCGCTACAGTCTGTCACTAGAGATAACTATTTATGTTCACTGTTTGGACTGAGCACAATCAATGATGCCCAATCAATCTGCCCAATGTGTGTTCTGTTCCACATAATTATAACGTCCCATCGCATCAACCCTACTACACGCACATGTCGTCACTCTAGCATGACTTGTGTTATTATTGTTTATTTTGATTCGCACGATAAATAAAGCACAATAAACGTTAACTTGACCGAAGGATAAAGGTGACTGCAGATAGAGGAACACATCGAGGTACAGGTACCGGCATCAATACAGTATCAGAGAGAAACAAACAAAAATGAGAGCAACGCAGAAAAAAACTCTCGTAAGCCCAAGTCTGAAAGGGGAAGTGGTTGATGAGGGATGAATGCACTCTCCATGCTCATCTACGCTGTTCGTGGAAATGCACACATACATACAATAATATACAACACAGCATGCACAGAACCGAACAATTTCATGTTCACACATGCAAGCACAGACTTGAACGTTAGTACCAAAAGCCTATACAGACAATATCCCCATACACACAGACACACGCGCGCGCGCACACACACACACATACACACAATTTCCCATGTATGCGCCCGTGGCGAGAAAAGCACGCAAATCTACAAATGGACTGGATGTGAACCCACATATTTTCTCTTATAGCAACAATAGCGGATCTGATTCTGAATGAAACACACACATACACACACACACACACACACACACACACAATACAATAATACCCATCCGCAGATGATGGCAGGTCCTGAAAGGACAGGCAGTGTTTCAGTCATGGGAAACAGAACTTCGAGTGGCGAGTGAGGTATACACACACAAACACATGTGCCCGAGCGGGCACACACTAAAGTATGCAGAAGGAGAATCAACACTGTAGTATTCATCGGTTGGGGAATGGAAAGGAAAATAAAACATTGCAGTAGGGTATTGTTGTATGGACACTATGAGCACAACAGAAAGGTAAGCAACTTGCTTTGAAGCAAAGAAAGTTATTATTCCACGGATCTCAGAAGGAAAGAACGTTCCAGAATGCTGCACTGGCAACAGGCAGCCTGCACGTGCGTGGCCCCTGCAGTCGGTCCAGCTGCCGGGTTGCAGTGCTGAAAAGAATGTGCAGTACAGCATGTCACGTCGTATCGCAGCCTGGACAAATAGGCGCTGGGAAGTCCTAGTTATGTGCTCACCTACACCACGATGCACCAATCTGCTGAGCTATTATAGCAACAACTTTGTCCTCTTGAGACTCCCATGGGCTGAGCCAGTTGTTCAGGGCTGCACCAAGGTGAACGGCAATGACCGCTGATGGCAATGCAATCCAAGACACACAGTCACTAGGGCATCGTTAACATGGCGCTGAGGCTGGATCGATAAAGTCTGCCTTTAGGCTGGGTTGACAACGAGGCCGCTGTCTTGAAGCTAGTCAGTCAGCCTGGTCACCGCCATTGACGAACCAGTCGCCACCGTCAGCAGTGGCGGTAGGTTGTGACAAGTGTGGTTGCAATATTGTCAGCAAATTCAGTACTCGGGATAAGATGAGTGACAAAGGGAACGCTGTGTTTGTATAATATTGAAGTGAACAGGGATGATCACAAACCCTGCGCGTACTCCACCGTGAGTTACAAGAAAATTCCGGACTGGACGACAAGCAAACGCCAACCTGCTACATCCAACCAGGCAGATACTATTACGATAGCTGCCAAACCAGGTCAATGTCGACCCACTGCATAATGTCAATGTCAAACAGCTCCTGCAGGAGAAGACTGGGGTGTTGGCGTCCAGTGTACAGACACCAGTCACATTTCCTGTGTCTTTTGCAGCATACAGGCTGAGACTCATCACTGTAGAGTCCACTACTGCATGAGTTTTATTTGTACAATACATGGCAGGCGTACACGGTGTGCCTCGCAGGACTGCGAGATGCTGCAGAAGACCAGGTTCGACCTTTCTGGACGGCCATTCACCGACGGTGGGCTACACGATGCTGGAGGAACTAGATTCCAGTGAAAACTCAAGATTCCTTTGCTCCTGGACGCTTAGATGTGTTGTGATATCTGCCAGGTGCGCAGTAACTAGTATTTTCATCGCTATCGCGAGGACGACGCCGACCGGCAAACTCTCGCTCACAGCCATCACCAGCCTATCAAAACCATCACTTGGCATCCCCCAGAGGTATAAGAGAAAGCCAAAACAGCTCACAACAAACAAAAGCTAAGGACGATGGAAAGAGAGCATGTCAAAAAGAAGACGAACAGTATGAAGTTCAAAGGTTTTGAACACTCGTTCCACCAACTATATATATACCACTTTCAATAAAATTAATCGTGACGCTATTTTGTTTTAACACACATATCGCGGATTGGGGGAAGGACCTGTGCAATATTCGGAAAAAAATTCTCATGAAGCTCCAGCCAAATTTGAAATATTTCAAAAGTACCATGCGTCTATAATTTTGAAACGGACTGTAGTAGTATCAAGAGTACATAACCCCCCAGAGTGTGCAACGCCTGATCCAGCTCTGCATAAGGTCTTGGTCGAGCGTAATCGGATCTTTGCGTCATAATACCGTACACATCTGAGGAGAACCCGGGGAATCGCGGGTACACTCGGGTCAAAAACAACGGTGCCCTGCCTCGAAGCCGGCCATGCGCTGGTGTGGAGTGTACGCATGACATTAGAAGATCCGATTACGCTCGACCAAGACCCTATGCAGAGCTAGATCAGCCTTTGCACACTCTGTGGGTTATGTACTCTTGGTACTAGTAGTCTCAGTTCACGTGCTGGGTGGTGGGAATAGTCCAGAAGAAGAAAACTTTTTAAAAAACCTCTTACCTTTTTACTCTGCAGTCCCTTGTCCTTGACAACGTTTGTTGCTCGCTTGAACATGCTCAACTTGGCGAGAACACGGGGTGGCAGCTGCGAACACGGAACAGAAGGGCACGCATGTATGAATACAGAACGCAGTAGAGCAAGCATCTATCACCTACCACCCCTGTACCGGGGCACATGATCAGCATAGCCGGCGAGATAGAGACGGCACTTGACATGTCACTGTCCCATGACACAGTGACATGCCTGGACTCCTCCGTGGAGTTCAATGTCTACACCAGTAGAAATACAGTGATGACATCGGAACTAGTCCAGGGCACCAGGCACAGTGACATGCCCTGACTTCTCGGGGGAGTTCAATGTCAACAACAGAAGAAATACATTATACAGTGATGATATCGGAACTGGTGCAGGACACCAGCTTTGTACTTTAGGCCGTCAGACTCCACCTACACAACAGTGCTGTTCAAAGAAATCCAATCACACGAGTCACGTTTACGCCTTGCACCCAGTTCACCATCGCAGTGTTCGACGGTCTAGGGCTGCACAGCACTGACTCATGCGATTGGATCTCCTTGAGTGGTAACACTGTAGCACAACAGTTGAACTACAGTACTGTTGCCTGTTGGTCACCGAAGAACAGGGGGGAGGGGGTCAGCCTCCTAGCCTACACCGGTCTTATTTTATGTACTACAAGTCTATGCGCAGTTGAGTCACCGTGTATACATTGGTATGCCGGGGTTGGTGAAATTCTAGCCTGGTCGTTCTTCGGCGCCTGACTGAACTGTAGTGAGGGGAGTAGAGGAGACTTACCGGCTCACTGACTAAGAATTGTTTGAGAGGTTCAGAACGGCGGTAGCGTGCATGTTTAGCCAACAGACACAGAAACCTGAGCAAACAGAGACAGAGAGGGAGAGGGAGAGAGAGAGAGGGGATCATTTAGTAACAGCATTATCAATAGTAACAGCATTATCAATAGTAACAGCAACAGATCTTTCCCATAGGCAAACTGTCGACACAGTGGTCCATGCTGTTGGGAGACAAAGAAGACTGACCAGTTGCCGATGCAAACGAATTGGCAATTATACATGCACCTCCACTAGCAGCACCTCCAGCACCACCACACCCACAGCCACTGCCATCACTAGCACCACCACCACCACCTGCAGCAGCACCACCATCATCACCAAGAACCTAGCTAAGAAGACCTTCTCCGGACAAACAATCCTGCACTTACATCTCTACACTGCGACAATATTTGGGAATCTGGTCTGCTAGCATGTTGCGCATTTCACCACCTGCAAGTAAGATGCACACAAACATACACGGAACAAAACACTGAGCGAGTGTGTACGTGTGCGTGTGTGTGCGCGCAACTGCAATGGTTGTTTCCGCTCAGCCCAGGGACGCAACCAACATCGCTGTTCAAGGCACTGCCACCATCCAACAGCTAGAGAACGGGACAAGTTACCGCATATAATTATGTATCTGCTCTCGCTGGTTCCGACTAGTTTCGCATCTGAGGCACCATCAGGTGGCCTGCGCCTTCTCTCTCTCTGCCGCCCCTCTGGGGCCAATGTCACTCTTCGGCCTTTTGACGCTTCTCGCCGGATACAGTGATAGCGATGCTACAGCAGAAGCCATACCAACTTGTGCTGGGATTGAACCATTCAACAGCTTGCAAGGCTACAGAATTGGCCACCACGTGACCCTAGTGGTAGTGGCTCTACACGACAGGACAGATGTGTGCGTGTGTGTGTGTGTGTGTGTGTTTGTGGTGGAGATGGGACGTGTGTGTGTGTGTGTGTGTGTGTGTGTGTGTGTGTGTGTGTGTGTGTGTGTGCGTGTGCGTGTGTGTATGTATGACAGCAGTCTACTAGTAGTACTCACCGAATTCTTGCTTCATCAAAGCTTCAGCTTCGGCTGCTGTGCTTGCAGGCCGGTTGGGCATCGGCGGTACCTGAGAGCATGCACACACACACGCGCGCGCGCGCACACACACGCACACACACATGCAGATGCACAGCACGGAACAGGTCAGAAACAGTCCAGAGTACACTACAGCATGCAACCAGGCGACACCAGCCTGAGTCACAGTCCCAGGTGCCTGCACACCTGCTAGAGAGGTTCTACAGGAGAACTGAAACGAGCTACTCAAAAACCGACAGACACGTCTTTGCAATTCAACTATCCTTAGCGGGTACATAGTGATAATTATAATTGTATGCAAAAGAAACCTTTCTGTCGGCTTGCATCACTCGTATGATGACCTTGGCAAAGAACAGGCATACTGTGAAGACAACAAATATTCGGCGTGTATTTATTTTCGGCCTGGGCATTTTTGGCCAAAATTTGAATCGACATGTGCATACCGTGTTTATTCGTAGAGTGCATACCGTGTTTATTCGTACCGTGTATACCTTGTTTATTCGTACAGTGCATACCGTGTTTATTCGTACAGTGCATACCGTGTTTATTCGTAGAGTGCATACCGTGTTTATTCGTAGAGTGCATACCGTGTTTATTCGTACAGTGCATACCGTGTTTATTCGTAGAGTGCATACCGTGTTTATTCGTAGAGTGCATACCGTGTTTATTCGTACAGTGCATACCGTGTTTATTCGTACAGTGCATACCGTGTTTATTCGTACAGTGCATACCGTGTTTATTCGTACAGTGCGTACCGTGTTTATTCGTACAGTGCATACCGTGTTTATTCGTAGAGTGCATACCGTGTTTATTCGTAGAGTGTCAAACGATGGAAAACTGCGTACAGTGAACATCATTGGACACTGCCCAAATAAACACGGTATACAGATGTCGATTCATCTCATCTTATTGATTGCGGTTCTAAAATTGTTGTCTCCTCGCTGGTTGTTTCGCAAGGTTTAATGTGACAGTGTATACAGGCAGCAGTACTACAGGCTGAACTTGTAATGCGGCCGAAATGTGTCTTATCCTAGGGAGGCCGAAATTTGAACGCGCTGAATATTTGTAGACTTGCAGCACAATGTAGTAGTAAGTGAGGGTCGCCAGCAGCAACTCTCTTGTTCTACGAAGTTAGAGCAACATGCAAACTTACAATTGATCCGCCTGGGTCTTCACGAACTGACAGGCAATTATGCAGCCACTCGACATCCTCAAACGTCCTCGTCGTCGACATCTCGCAGCTTGGGAAATCCGTTAGCGTTGTCTATGTATGTGGAATGCATGCACATACACACATAGAGACGCATATGCACACACAGACGCACATGCACATGCACACACACACACACACACACACACACACACACACACACACACAGCCAACCCGCGAGAACGGACAGAACAATGTAAGAAGATAATCACACAGAACAACAAAAGCACATGGCTACAATGTAGTTGGTTGCTCTTGTAACTCTGAGTTCCATGCTATGCAATCATCAGTTCCGCTCTGCTAAAGCAATGATCTGCTTTATGAGTAGTGACTGTCATCACTAATTGCCTGCAGTTTGCATGGCATGCACGAACTTGGGATTCTTCCATTTATTTTTCCCGAATACTACTGTTGTCGACACAGGAATCCAGTCGATTGACCGGGGCCGGCGCCCTCAGCGAGTACAAAACGTCGTTGCATGCAGTGCACACGTACCTAGCTTGGTGATCCGATGCGACCAGCGCGCTGCAGCGCATAGTACATGCATGCGTGTGCTGCTTATCCACGGCTGCATGGCCAGCGCCCTGGGGCCGCTAGACGTGCGACCGGATTTCCATGCCCAGGACAATATAATATTCACGTTTGTGTCTTTTCACTCAAACCTGTGTATACTGTAATCATGGATTTGTCAATCAAGTTATTTGAGACAAAACTTTCTGCATGCATGTGGGGCTGTGTAGGTTTCAAGGGTTAGCAGTGTTATATTCGCGTGGCGTATGTGGCTGGAGCGGTCAGGATGCTAGGAAGGCAGGGACAGTTCGGTGATGCTAGGAAGGCAGGGACAGTTCGGTGATGCTAGGAAGGCAGGGACAGTTCGGTGATGCTAGGAAGGCAGGGACAGTTCGATGATGTTAGGAAGGCAGGGACAGTTCGGTGATGCTATGAAGGCAGGGACAGTTCGGTGATGCTAGGAAGGCAGGGACAGTTCGGTGATGCTAGGAAGGCAGGGACAGTTCGGTGATGCTAGGAAGGCAGGGACAGTTCGGTGATGCTAGGAAGGCAGGGACAGTTCGGTGATGCTATGAAGGCAGGGACAGTTCGGTGATGCTAGGAAGGCAGGGACAGTTCGGTGATGCTAGGAAGGCAGGGACAGTTCGGTGATGCTAGGAAGGCAGGGACAGTTCGATGATGTTAGGAAGGCAGGGACAGTTCGGTGATGCTATGAAGGCAGGGACAGTTCGGTGATGCTAGGAAGGCAGGGACAGTTCGGTGATGCTAGGAAGGCAGGGACAGTTCGGTGATGCTAGGAAGGCAGGGACAGTTCGATGATGTTAGGAAGGCAGGGACAGTTCGGTGATGCTATGAAGGCAGGGACAGTTCGGTGATGCTAGGAAGGCAGGGACAGTTCGGTGATGCTAGGAAGGCAGGGACAGTTCGGTGATGCTATGAAGGCAGGGACAGTTCGGTGATGCTAGGAAGGCAGGGACAGTTCGGTGATGCTATGAAGGCAGGGACAGTTCGGTAATGCTAGGAAGGCAGGGACAGTTCGGTGATGCTAGGAAGGCAGGGACAGTTCGGTGATGCTAGGAAGGCAGGGACAGTTCGGTGATGCTAGGAAGGCAGGGACAGTTCGATGATGTTAGGAAGGCAGGGACAGTTCGGTGATGCTAGGAAGGCAGGGACAGTTCGGTGATGCTAGGAAGGCAGGGACAGTTCGGTGATGCTAGGAAGGCAGGGACAGTTCGGTGATGCTATGCTGCTTTTAAAATTCACACAGCACAACGTGCATGCACACAGTTCTTCAGACTGCCCTGGTGCCCATCATCACTTCAATTATCAAGGTCAAGGTGTGTGTACGCGCGTGTGTGTGTGTACGCGCGTGCAAAAAAAAGAAAAATGAAAAATAGGGATTCACTGGCCAGAAAAAAGCCACTTCAATCAGCTGTGTGGTGGATACCAGGCTAAGAATAGGTGGCGGTCAATTCATCAGCCTTGCAAGTTGTTGAATGGTGTAATCCCAGCACAAGTTGCTATGTCTAACATAGCTGTTCGCTATCATCGCTTCCGCGATGGGCATGTCTGAGGTGTGTGTGTGTGTGCATGTCCATTGTGTGTGTGTGTGTGTGTGTGTGTGTGTGTGTGTCTTGATCTGTTTCATTCAGATCTTGTCTACTATCGTTGAACCCCCTCCCCATCCAGCGCATTTGCGTGGTTCTCTTGCGACGAGCATATACATGGTACATGGTGTGTGTGTGTGTGCGCGCACACACGCGTGTGGTGTATTTATGCGCGTGGGTGTGCTTGAGTATGTATGTATGTGTGTGTGTGTGTGTGTGTGTGTGTGTGCGTGTGCACATCCGGTACATAAATACGCCACACACACATATCAGAGTGCATGGCATGACAGGGATCATGCCTTTGCATGATCTACGTGTGTGAATGCGCATGTATGTGCATGTGTGTTTGCGTGTATGTGGAGGTCACAATGCAGAGGGCGTTGGACATCTGCAAATTATACATACACGATTACACATTCGCACAAAAACGTCAAATTCGCACTCGTGACACAACAGCACTCACGACTGTCTTGATCTCAAAGCGAATAATTTCTCCATCTTTGGTGGCTGACGGGACTTTGATCTCCAGCATCTCCGGAACAGAGGAATCGTCCCGAGTCCGTTCCTCCTCCATACTGGTTTTTGAATAAACAGATTTTTTACGACCTGCACGTCAAACAAATCTACTTCCAGACACGAGACAAAAAAGCCTGGTTTAGCAGCCGTCGAAGTGGTCTTGCTGCAGGTACAGGAGCAGTATGCACGTACAAAGAGCTACAGTGCACATTCAAGGACGTAAAGAAAACTGCAGCTGGGAAAGTAAAGAGGGGACACAGTCAGTCATGAAGAAAACCTGGAAACTGGCGACGTGGTACTGGTACTGTACTTCTTCACTCACCGCACTTCCCCCCCCCACACACACACTCGTACTCTTGACTCCCTGCAAGTGGGGAGTAGTATTTTCACACTCATGTCAGTCATGAGTCAGAGTTCAGTCCGCGCGATATCGTTCTCTCATACATCCCGATCCCGCGATCCACGCAGTAGCAGGTAGTAAAAATACCACCGCTGCCGCTCGCGATAGTACTACATGTAGTAGTACACGTTTGACGTTTGTTGTGAGTGTTGACTGTACATGTAGCGGCACCCCGCGGCGCATCAGGCGCGCTGGCGTTTTCATTGTGACGTCATTGGCGTGAGGGGATAAAAATGGCAACGTGGCCGCAGCGTTTCATTTCGAGAAAATGTTTCAATGCATGCATGCTTGCATCTCAGCTAGCTGTCTTGTAGTTCAAGGGAAATTTTCGTTTGTGAGTATGCTGTAAGAAAACAGTGTAACCCGGATGCAGAGAAAGAATTACGGATTGTGCCGAGGAGTTCTTGTACTGTCTTCGCCTCCAAGTCAATGTACTCGGGAGGTCCCTGCGCTGCTAATGTCACCATCTGTTTGTGAAGGAAATTGAACAAACAATGGAATTTTCACATCAGGATATTGACGAATTGACGCTGCTGGTCTCTGACCCTGGAATGGTTGGTGGCAGTGCACCTTCTGATCTATTAGCAAGTCTCCAGCCAGAAGCAGACTTGACCAAGTTATTAGGTGCATCGGGTAATACAACAGGCAGCCATATAGCAGCCGCTCCTGCTCCTGCTGCTGCTGCTGCTGCTGCTGCTGCTGCTTCTAATGTTGCACTGAGTGCTGTGCCTTTGGCAACGCGGCAGCCATCAGCAGCGCTGGATGAGTTAGTTCTGAGTGCGCTGTTGTCCAGTCAGGATACGAGTACACCCGCTGAAACATCTGCACTGTCCATGGACGAGCTGTTGAGTATGTCACTGGAGAGACAGCATCCGATAGCGGCACATGACGGTGATGGATTTGGTGCAGAGTCACTGCAAGCCAGTGGCAGCAACTCGCTGGCATCGTTGGATCTAGCCATGCTGTGCCGTGGTGATGACGATGGAGGTGGCGCAGACTTGGTGGATTCCGTACTGGCTACGCCTACATCGAGTGGTCTGAGTACGTGGAACGGTGAGCTTGGTAGCAGTGCTGCGGGCGAGAATGGTGCTGTCTTGTCGGACACAACGGATACATCCGACTTACAGCCCAACCCGACGGCGACGACAGCGGCAGCTAGCAGTGGCGCGGCATTGGCGGCGTTGTCCTCTGGCAGTTCTCTGTCGCACCCCATCAACCTTCTCACACCACCGCCCACAGGTGGTACACCGCCATCAGGTGCTGCTGCTGCTAGTGGTGGGCCAATGGCTGGGGTGCTGCCCATGGGTGCAACGACAGTGTCAGTCACTTGGCCTACTAACAACTCTGCGGCCAATGTGCCTGCAGCCAAACGCACTCTGGGCACCGGGGCCAGCCAGATCTCACTGCAGCAGCTGTCTCGCAAGTAAGACGCAGTGCTTTGTGTGTGTGTGTGTGTGCGTGTGCATTTGCGTGTGCATTTCCTTCTCTCTCTCTCTCTCTCTCTCTCTCTCTCTCTCTCTCTCTCTCTCTCTCTCTCTCTCTCTCTCTCTCTCTCTCTCTCTCTCTCCCCCCCCCCCCCTTGCGATAGGTGTAGTGGTTTTGTAATCCATACTAAAGTATGTTGGGATAAGCAGTACCTCGGACACTAAGTGAACTTTCCTGCCGCTCATGTGCAGTGGCGTCGCCCATGTGCAGTGGCGTCGCCCATGTGCAGTGGCGTCGCCCATGTGCAGTGGCGTCGCCCATGTGCAGGGGCGTCGCCCATGTGCAGTGGCGTCGCCCATGTGCAGTGGCGTCGCCCATGTGCAGGGGCGTCGCCCATGTGCAGGGGCGTCGCCCATGTGCAGTGGCGTCGGACACGCTACGGTCACTATGGTATTGACAGTACCACATTTCGTCCCAGGTACCCCAGGTACCCCGGGAATCAAAAATATGCACTGACTTAGGCTCTAAGTCTGGGAAATCTTTCAGAGGAGCCACCCCAACTCCACGAGTATATTGTACAGTGCTGCTCAATGAAATCCAGTCGTGTCACTCAGGTTTGCGCTGCGCATCATTTCATCATATCCAAAGAAAGTTTCATCCCGGCCGACCGAGTCTCCTTTTTGAGGGGTTGCCGACCCGAAAAAAGTCTATTTTTTGTTTTGGCCTATATAACTATTAGGGAGGTTTCGCTCTACGTAATTACGTATGAAAATCCGTATGTCGTACGCGCCGGGGAGCGAGGGCAACTTTCATACGTAAATCTCTCAACGGATTTCCGTAGGAAAGCTGTTTCCTACGTTGGGTCCTCCGTAGGACTTTTTGAAATATTTTTCGCATTTTCCAGATTTATCCATGGCAAAGTTCAAGCCGCGCGAAACACAAGGTGCACACACTGTACACGTACACCACGTGCAAAATAAGATGGAAAACGCGGTTTCGGTTCGTGGTGCATGCGGTGGGCGCATGCAGCCAACGCATGGCCAAAGCAACAAGGCATGTTTAGCAGTTGTGGAGAAATCACGTAGAGCGAAACCCAACAACGCTGATTTTTACGTATGAAAATTACGTGCAGTTTCTACGTTATTTTCATACGTAATTCCGTAGAGCGAAACCTCCCTATTATCCAGTCATCCTACAGCCTGACAGAAAGTGTGTAGCCTCCAGCAGTGAATGACAGTGTATAGGCTTGAACAGTGCATGACATACTAAGTCAAGTAGTTAGTGTGTACTCGTAGTCTGCAAATGTGGATGAATATGTGTGGCCGGCAACAGTGGATGAATGTGTTTAGTGAACTTTAGTCTTCAACAGTGGATGCATGGACAATGCCTGTGAAGTGTGGAGTGGCTCTTGTGGAGTAGCTGGGTTCAAGTTTTACCTCACATGTAGATGGCTGCATATGCCAAGGTCACTCCACACAACGAGCACCTCGTTGTCAAGCACTCCAAATCTGTGTGTGGGGGGTGGTGATGTGTGTGTATATGTGTATGTGTGTGGTGTTGGTGGTGATGCTGCATGTGTGGGTGACGATGTGGATGCCTGGAGAGGTGCCCAAGAAATCAAAAAGGGTGATGTGTCTGTACTGCTGTGTGGTGGGGGGGGGCTGTGTGCGTGTGTGTGTGTGTGAGTGTATGTGTGTGTGTGTGTGTGTGTGTGTGTGCCTGCATGCATATGCCATTGTGTTGGATATACTGGTTCTGTACTCTGCAGCAGCTAATGTTCTAATATCCTGAGCAATGTAAAGAATACTTGAAAGTAGCTACTAATGTGTTTTAAGCTGGTATGTCTCAGTCTGCTGCTCTCTCACAGGCTGTTTTCCTACCATAATGACTAACTGATGGTTTTCTGCATGACCTGTATATGTCTGCTGCTGCTCTTGCTATTCCTGCTGCCCTTGCTGCTGCTGCTGCTGCTGCTGCTGCTGCTGTTGTTGCTGCTGCTGTTGCTGCTGCTGTGCTGCTGCTGCTGCTGCTGTTGCTGCTGCTGTTGCTGCTGTTGTTGCTGCTGCTGTTGCTGCTGTTGTTGCTGCTGCTGTTGCTGCTGCTGCTGATGCTCCTGTTGCTGCTGCTGCTGTTGCTGCTGCTGTTGCTGTTGCTGCTGCTGCTGTTGTTCCTGTTGCTGCTGTTGCTGCTGCTGCTGGTGTTGTTGCTGCTGCTCTACTTTTCTGGGCATGTCTATGTTGTTGTTGTTCTGATTGTCTACCTTGTAGTGGCCCAGTCTCTGCTGAACTTCCTGGAATTGGGTACGCCATACCGCCGCACTAACTGCCCGTGTTCTCACACTAACTGCCGCTGTTGCTGCTGTTATTGCTACTGCTGTTAAGCTGTGTTCCCAACTGGCGCGTGGATGCGGTACGCTTGCGGTTCATGCGCGCCCGAACGCGCGCTCAAGCTTTCACAAAAAAAACAGCTGTCACAGTCGTATTTAGCGCGTGCGACACCTTCGAGTACTAATTTGTTGACCCCGCTAGTCAAAGTGACTGCCGTGTACGCTGGTACGCGCCTGATACGCGCTGAAAATTCTAACATGTTGGAATTTCCATTTCGGCACGTTTCCGTACGCATGGCGCCCCAAAAGCCAGCAAAATACGCACAAACGCGTGGTTTCACGCATACACGCGCCAGTTGTGAACACAGCTTTACACTCTGCTGCTCTTGCTGCTGCTGCTGTTGTTGTTGTTGCTGCTGATGGTGACCCTCTGACATTTACTGATTGCCAGGGCCAAGGCAGTCGTTTCCTTGTGTGTATGTGTAAGCTGGGATGCTACTCAATCCTACGCACAGCCAGCTGTTTTGACCTGGAATGTTATGTGTGTGTGTGTGTGTGTGTGTGTGTGTGTGTGTGTGTGTGTGTGTGTGTGTGTGTGTGTGTGTGTTGTTACACTTTGTGTTTGCTCACAGGCAAATCACCGTCATGTATACTCAGCCGAAATCTGCCTCTGGTGTAAGTCCGGCTAGGGAACGAGTATTTTGTAATTTTGTATTGCTGGTGCTTCATTGTGCTTCTCATGCTGCTGGTGTTGGTGCTGCTGTTGGTGCTACATGCTTTGTTCTGTAAATTGCAATACTTCACTTGTTGATGCTGCTGTTTCATCTAGTGGGGCTGATGCTGCACTTGAAACTCTTTCAATGCCCAGCGTCACTAAGGTTAGGTTAGGGTATGTTTTCAGAATGTGCTCATTTTAAAAGATTACTTTCTACTCCCCCCCCCCCCCCCCCCCACTCTCTCTCTCTCTCTCTCTCTCTCCCCCCGCAGTCATCACTACCGCACCCAGCGTCCACAGGCCCGCAGTTCAAAACCATCAAGCTATCAGCTCAGGGGACAGCAGCAACACTGGCGGCTGCTAAAGCGGCTGCCTTGCAAGCGTCTGCCTCATCATCGACAGCAGTAGATGATGACTCCGATGATGATGACGAATACTCTGAAGCAAACACCTACGCCATTTACAAGCCCATGAAACGTAAGCAAGCGCATAGCTCGTGTGTATTCAGCGTAGTGCGATCACCACATCAGTAAATGGCTCTCATACGTACTGTTTAGTTGAAATAGGAAAATGGCACTTTTGAGGTTGCCGATGTTACATGGTCACCACACCAGAGATGTACAGTCTGATACATAGTCACCACAGCACAGTTGTGTAGTCTGATTAATGGTCAACACCACAGATGCAAGAGCTTCGCTGCTGGTAAGCTTATGCAAGCAATCTTGCGATTAACGACCAAATGACGGGCATGAGAACGTGGGGTTTTAGTCGCAGTTGTCGCTATTTGTATGGTGCAAAGTCTACACTATGCAGTCTAATGAGTATTACAACAGCGTATACTGTTAGACCTCACTTATCCGGTCCTCTTGCCATCCGGATCCCTCGCCATCCGGACGAAAATCGTTGGTTACCAATTTACAGCATATGTCATGCATACATACAGTATGTATGTTGGATTATCCGGACTTGTTGTTCGTTGCATGTGTCTGTGCATGTGTGTGTGCGTGTGTGCATCCGTTTGTATCTGGTCACTCACTTGTGATGTGGTTTGTCTATTTTGTGTTGCAGTGGAGATTGGTATTGAACATCCGGACCCTGTCGTTGAATCCAGGTAAGGGTTGTCTACTCGCACTGATGCTTGGGGAACCTGTCCAAGTCTGCCTCTATCTACAAGAGACATGCATGGCCACGTGGCTATGCTATCCCTGTTGCTTGGTGAACCTGTTCACTCTGCCTTCACCTACTAGAGTGACTTGCATGGCTGTATGGCTATGCTATCCATGTTGTTTGTGAGCCTGTTCACTCTGCATTCACCTACTAGAGTGACTTGCATGATTGTATGGCTATGCTATCCCCGTTGCTTGGTGAACCTGTCCACTCTGCCTTCACCTACTACTGTACTGTCGGATGCCACAGAACTGGGGGTCAGCCTCGTAGCCTGTATCATTCTTATTTTCATGTCTAGCAGTCTGTGCGCAGTAGAGTCACCTTGCACACATCTCTGTGCTGTGCTTGGTGAAATTCTAGCCTGTCCACTCTTCGGCACTACGCTCTTCAGCACTCGACACTACCGTAGAGACATGCATTGATGTGTGAATGTGGCTATGTAGTGCTGGTGATGGTGATGGTGGCATGTGTACACTGTCCAGACTTGTCACATGTGCAAGAGAATCCATCCGAGTGTGTTGAGCCAGTGCACTGCTAGGGTAGGGGGTTAGGGTTAGACACTTTGCAGCTGGCCCGTACTTGAACCACACAGTCATGTGCAAGAGAATCCATCCGAGTGTGTTGAGCCAGTGCACTGCTAGGGTGGGGGGTTAGTGTTAGACACTTTGCAGCTGGCCCGTACTTGAACCACACAGTCATGTGCAAGAGAATCCATCCGAGTGTGTTGAGCCAGTGCACTGCTAGGGTGGGGGGTTAGGGTTAGACACTTTGCAGCTGGCCCGTACTTGAACCACACAGTCATGTGCAAGAGAGTCCATCCGATGGTGTTGAGCCAGTGCACTGCAAGGGTAGGGGTGGGGGTATACTCGTCTCTTGGTGACATGCGTTGATTTGTTTACGCTCATCTCTTGATGACATGCCTTGATCTTTTAAGTTAAACGTTTTGTGTTCGTCTCTCACTTGTTTGTTGTTTCCTTGACAGCTCTTTGTCTGGTGTTGTACCACCGGACATATGGTACAGTGTACAGCTACCAACAGAGGTGATCGACACTGGCAAGTTGTCTGCATTACAGCTGGAGGCTGTCTCCTACGCGTCACAGCAGCACTGGACAATGTTAGAAAACGACTCGAGATCTGGTTTTCTTATCGGTGAGCAAATGCAGCGTGTTTTGTGGTGCTTGCACTGGTGCTGATGGTGGTGCTGGTGGTGCTGCAGGTTGTCTTGGTGCTGCTGCTGCTGCTGCTTTGAGAGCTGCTGTTGTTACTTGTGCCATTACCCGTGTTCCTTCTTGTTTGTTATGCGTGTGTGGGTGCGTATGTGCATGTGCGTGTGTGGGTGGGTGCATATTTGCTTATTGTTTGCCGATGTTGAATATGGCAATGGTGTATCTTTGCAGGTGATGGTGCTGGTGTTGGAAAGGGCCGAACAATCGCTGGTATTATCTGGGAGAACTACTTGCAGGGACGCCGGAAAGCTATCTGGTATGTTGTGCAGCAAGCTGTGATATCTGTACCTACTGACTTATGTGTACATGCGTGCACGTATGTGTGTGTCTGTGGGTGGGTGGGGGGAGGGGTATGTGTATGTATGCGTTTGTATGGGTGTGTGCGTGTGTGTGTGTGTGAGTGTGTATGTCCAATATGGTCCGCTGGTTTGTGCAGGCAGTTTCCAATCGAGAGGTCTCGCATTCAATTCCTGAGGATTCTGGCCATACATGTCTTTCTTCTCTTTCTCAGACTCCTTCTTACTGTTCTTTCATTCTCCTGGGTGGTTACCAGCAACCAGTGCACGTCGGAGTATGTGTATTGCAAGCTGTAAACCCTTTGGAGTCCATGGTTCGATTTCGAACCATGGGCATTTTGTATGCATGTGGGTGCAGCCAAACTTTCGTTTCTCGGCCAAATTCGAGAATCGAAGGGTCTAGGTGGTAGAGAAAACTCTCAGCTATTGCCTCGAACAGGTCCGATGTCTCTCCGATTAAGTTTGAGTGAGCGGCGAGCGATCAAACATTTTGAATTTTCTGCGCTGCGTGCTGCGAGTCAGCAGTGCGTGAAAAACGGGATTTTCCCAGCTTCATGACTGGCGGCACGTGCCAGGACCGGCACAGCGCGAAGTCACGGCAAGGTAAGCTTCTACTCGAAAAAATTTGAACAGTTCCGAGCTAGATTCAGTGAAATGGCTACAGGAGACCGATTTCGTCTCAGATCTGGAGCTGGACTCGCGTTTGGAGCGCGTTGTGGCGGACAATGAGTATTGCTCTTGGCGAGTTTGGGCTCATTGTATTTCTCTCGTCAAGAGCTTTCCAACGAGCCCAAGATCTTCAAAATCGGTGAAGTATAACCAAAGTCATGTTTGAAATTGAGTGCGAATTTTCGTCACTGCCACAAATTCCGAGGAAGCAAAAAGCTATAGACTCCAAAGGGTTAATAAACAGGCGTTTGGTTTCTTAGGCCTGAGTGTGCTTGTGCACCTTTGCATATGGTATGTTCGTTTTTCTCATGCACTTTATTGCTACTTTATATGAGTACATGTTGTGTTGTCATAGTGTTCAGTATATCCATCTGGCACTCTTGTCATGCTATTCTTGTCTTTGTTTGGGCTGAACCTGTGTGTGTGTGTGTGTGTGTGTGTGTGTGTGTGTGCGTGCGTGCGTGTGTGTGCGCGCATGCGCGTGTGTGTGCTTGCGGGCGGGCGGACGTGGTTGTTTCTCTGTGTGTTTCGTGGGTTCTGTTAGGTTGAGCGTCTCATCAGATCTGCGAATGGATGCAATACGGTGAGTCATGCTGTGCTGTTAGTCCAGTAGCCCGTTGCTAGTGTAATTGCTGCTGCTGCTGCTGTTGCTGCCAAGCTCACACACTGAAGAAAGAAAAAGGAGGAAAGAGGAAACAGCGGAGAGAAATGAAAAGAAAGAGGGAAAACAGGAAAATAAACGATTAACACGAGCATGTGAGAAGGTACTGGCAAGAGACAATCATAAGAGACAAAGATCTGCGAAGAGGTTACTGTGTACAGAGACACATTCGCATAGAAGATATACCGGAGTCTGAGCTAAGGGGAAGGGGGGGGGGGGGGGGAGAGACATTAGGTAGAGAAGAAGCAAGGGAACACCGTTGTCAGGTTAGATAACTAATGAGTGAACAAACTCACACCCGCCTCTTTGGATTGTCTCCAGACGTTAGAGGTGGGACAGTGCAGCCGACATCCAAGTCAGAGGCGTATACTCCATGACAGGGCGCACACAACAGTCGTATACTCCATGACAGGGCGCACACAACAGTCTTGTAAACAGTCATTCGACTGGCATGTGAGCGGATGGGAGCTATTCGACGGAGTATCCCGAGACGACGGCGGGCATGGGTTGCCACATCTCGGATGCCGGTATGTGTGGAGAAGGAGAGCTTGGGTCGAAAGTGACTGCGAGCAGTTTCATTGCATCAACTTTGGGCACTGCAAGCATGCCGAACTTCTGTGTGTGATGTACTGCGACAATGCCTCCATGCAGTGAAACAAAAATGTCATCGATAAAACGCCTATAGACCTGAACCTCCAAACCCTCCATCGCTAGAATCGGTAATATGAACTGCTTCTCTAGATACAGCATAACAATGTTGGCATAGACTACAGCGGCAGGCGAGTCCCTTGAATCTGCCAAAACAACTCGTTATCATACACGAACTCGTTGTTCTTAGAAATGACTGACATGAAGGAAGTCACTGCTGCAATTAACCGTGTATGAAGGGCCGGGGACATCTACCTTGTAACCCTGTGCGTGATAAACCATGTTAATGCCTTGTGACTCAGTTCATTGGGGATATTGGTGTTTAGACTGGTCACATCTATATTCAAAAACAAATGATTGGCCCGCACAGGCAAACATTCTACAACCCTGTGTGCTATGACACAGCCTCATGACCGAGTTCATTGGGGATATTGGTGTAAAGGCTGGTCACATCTATACTCAAAAACAAATGATTGTCCCGCACAGGCAAACTTTCTACAACCCTGTGTGCTATGACACAGCCTCATGACCGAGTTCATTGGGGATATTGGTGTAAAGGCTGGTCACATCTATACTCAAAAACAAATGATTGTCCCGCACAGGCAAACTTTCTGCAACCCTGTGTGCTATGACACAGCCTCATGACCGAGTTCATTGGGGATGGTGTAAAGGCTGGTCACATCTATACTCAAAAACAAATGATTGTCCCGCACAGGCAAACTTTCTACAACCCTGTGTGTGTGTGTGTGATGTGCCGGGAGACATTGCCTTGTGACCCAGCTTGTTGGGGACGCTGGTGTAGAGCAGGATGTAAACGCCGCAAGCAACTTCTTGCCAATAGTTCATTGTGTCCGCACTGACAGAGTAGGCAGAAGGTTCTTAAAGCGTACCTGCCGGAGCGACCGCTGGACAATCTGTCGAGCAGCATAGGCCATGGGGCTGTATGGCAACGTGATGAGGCCAGGACCACTGGACCAACGTGATGAGGTCAGGACCACTGGACCAACGTGATGAGGTCAGGACCACTGGACCAACGTGATGAGGCCAGGACCACTGGACCAACGTGATGAGGCCAGGACCACTGGACCAACGTGATGAGGTCAGGACCACTGGACCAACGTGATGAGGCCAGGACCACTGGACCAACGTGATACGCAAGCAAAGGACTGTGTGACGGACCCAGGTCACCCTAACATCACGTACCTTTCCCGTGCATCCACGCCAAACTTGCGAGCCTTGAACACAGACGTCTTGTAGCCCCAAGCCCAAAACGCACGCTTGAGCAGTTCTGCAGCCCGCTCGTAATCAACGTCGAGGGTGGATGCCCGCCGTATGCGAATCAACTCCCCAGTGATCACACCCTTGCCCATACTACCGGGGCGGTTACTACCGGCAAGTACATATAGGAAACGGTTGGTGGCTGTGAAATGGGGTTTCACTGCCATATGTTCCTGACTATGGAAGACTGTGGTGTCTAGGAAAGCAATGCCCTCGTATGCTAGTTCATGCGTAAACTTGAGGGCCGAACACTGGTTAATACTCTCTAAGGCGCTCAGAGCTTGACCTTTGCAACCATGCAATGAAGCAAAAATGTCATCGATAAAACGCCCGTAGACCTGAACCTTCAAACCCTCCATCGCTAGAATCGGTAATATGAACTGCTTCTCTAGATACAACATAACAATGTTGGCATAGACTACAGTGGCAGGCGAGTCCCTTGAATCCGCCAAAACAACTCGTTATCATACACGAACTCGTTGTTCTTCGAAATGACTGACATCAAGGAAGTCACTGCTGCAATTAACCGTGTACGACGTGCCCGGGACATCCATCGTGTAACCCTGTGCGTGATAAACCATGATAGTGCCTTGTGACTCAGTTCATTGGGGATATTGGTATATCAACTGGTCACATCTATACTCAAGAATAAATGATTGTCCCGCACAGGCAAACCTTCTACGGCCCTGTGTGTGATGTGGTGGGAGACAATGCCTTGTGACCCAGCTCACTGGGGGACGTTGGTGTAGAGCATGATGTAAACGCCGCAAGCAACTTCTTACCAATATTCCACAGTGTCCGCACAGACAGAGTAGGCAGAAGGTGCTTACAACCTACCTGGGGTTTCACTGCCATGCGTCCCTCACTACGGAAGACTGTGGTGTCCAGGAAAGCAATGCCCTCGTATGCTAGTTCATGCGTAAACTTGAGGGCCGAACACTGGTTAATACTCTCTAAGGCGCTCAGAGCTTGACCTTCGCAACCATGCAATGAAGCAAAAATGTCATCGATAAAACGCCCGTAGACCTGAACCTTCAAACCCTCCATCGCTAGAATCGGTAATATGAACTGCTTCTCTAGATACAACATAACAATGTTGGCATAGACTACAGTGGCAGGCGAGTCCCTTGAATCCGCCAAAACAACTCGTTATCATACACGAACTCGTTGTTCTTCGAAATGACTGACATCAAGGAAGTCACTGCTGCAATTAACCGTGTACGACGTGCCCGGGACATCCATCGTGTAACCCTGTGCGTGATAAACCATGATAGTGCCTTGTGACTCAGTTCATTGGGGATATTGGTATATCAACTGGTCACATCTATACTCAAGAATAAATGATTGTCCCGCACAGGCAAACCTTCTACCGAGTTGATAAAGTCCGTAGTTGAGGTCAGAACAGTACTTTCGTCTCTCACAGTACGGGTTCAGTAGAAAGTCAATGACCTTTGCGGGATAGTAGCCTGGACTGTTCACCTTACCGACAGTCGGTCTGATCTTCAAGGCGACAGTCGGTCGAAGCTTCCAGGGCCCAGGGCTGTGTGTCTCGGGTAGACCCCTTGGAAACTGGCATCCGCCTCTTTCATTTTATGTATCATTTATTTTATTTTATTTTTACACAAATACGGTGGAACTAAAGTGGTAAAGGAAAAAGGGCACACTGACAGCCTTACTAGCTACAAGTACAATAATTACACTGACAGCCTTACTAGCTACAAGTACAATAATCGAGGCCGTGGCTTAAAAAATAATAAGAACAAAGAGGAGGGGCCGAATGTTACGAGTTATGACCAACTGTCCACCAAAGTAACTCGTAACATTTTTGTCCTTCCTTTTTTATTTTTTTATCCATTATACTTCGAAATATACATTGCCTCAACATCCCAGTTCGAATAATTTTAGGGTGGTTATCATTTTACTATTTGCGCTAAATCCAAGGGCACTCGTACCCAGCACCCAAAATACCATTGGTTTGGTATCGTTTCAGCGATCAGGGGCTCTGTTTACGGGGAGCACGAAAGGGTAGGGTTCCGACTTTTTCCGGCGCATCCACGAACTTCAAATTCTCAAGCGGCGAGCGTATGTATGCGGACGTGTGCATACACTGTCTGCTGTTGCTAGGGTTACATGGCAAGCCGGTCGTTGTGTCGGAAACGGAAATGCTAATCATGTCTACTCACACAGGAAAAAAAACGGTACGAGACGACCGTCTAAATTAGGAAAAAAATCATGGTTCGCGTGAGACTCGGCTAGAAGCCGAGCTTTGCGCATCCATAGGAACGCCACCAGCCTTCAAGGATCAAGGCGCAGATGCAACAAAATAAACGGTAGCATGCGAACTATGTCTAATTAGAGGAACATATAGCAGTAAAGAAAAAGGACCAAGGAACTACAAGTTACGCTATAGTACTGTTCACTAACAACACCAGTTACTGGACAATCAGCTCATACGTAACTTGTACTTGTAGTCCCTTTGTCCTTTTTCTTTCCTATAAAATCATCCTTGGCTCTCCATCTGCGACATACTCTAATTTCAGAAATTTTCGGTGCTCGATATTTTCGGTATGAGGGCAACAGGCTGGATTAGGTGATCAGAAATTTTCGGTGCTCGATATTTTCGGTATGAGGGCAACAGGCTAGATTAGGTGATCAGAAATTTTCGGTGCAGAGAAGCAGTTCCCTATTGGTTTATGTGTGTTACGTGTTTGTTCGGTGTATTGAAATTTTAGGTATGAAACAGACGCACCGAAAGTACCGAAAATAAAAGTACACTGAAAATTTGTGAAATTCCAGTAACAGTAAGGCTGCTAGTCTTTCACACCCCGGGGCACCAGTAACGGACACCGATTACCAATAGCAGGAAAACAAACAAGAAAACAAACAAGAAAACAAGCAAGAAAACAAGCAAGAAAACAAGCGGCGCTGTTACAAAGTCAATACTGTAAGTCTACAAATGTTCGGCTCATTCAAATTTCGGCCTCCCAGGGCTAAAACCCATTTCGGCCGCGTTAAAATTTGGCCTGTACTGCTGCCACCTGTATATGCTATCACACTGAACCTTGCAAAACAAAATTCAGCCGCAACAAATTTTCCGGCAAACATAACCAGGCCGAAAATAGGCGAAAACAAATATGCGCCGAATGTTTGTTGACTTACAGTTTGTAGATACAGAAACCTATAATAATTATTATGGTACAGTAGAGCCTGTGCTTGCCGGAACCAGTACCAAGCGGTAACCTGTATTCACCGGACAAATCGTCATGCTCCAAAGTGCTGTGGATCGAACGTGCATCCCTGCATCAAGCCGAATCCTGTCATATGGGGACAGTTTGCGCTGCAGCAATGGCGTCCGGTTAGGGCAGGTTTTACTGTGCTGCATTACATGGGGGTATTGGAGAGTCGGAAAATTAAACAACCTAGCTAGTCAAGCGGAAGAGCAAAACACTCAAACAGGGTTATGGGTGTATAGCTTAGGAGAGCGGAAAAGTCAGGTGCCAATTCTATTCTTTATTTCTCGGCTGTACTCATCTGGTCTGGGTTTGGTTCGTGCTCACACACACACACCAAGCTCTACACGACTACATTTGCACTCGGTGAAATCCGACGCAAAGTGCAGAGCTGGCACCCTGTACCAGTTCTGATTCCATCACTCTACTTGTACATGTGTACGTCCAGCTAGCCGCGTTCGTACCGCTTCCACAGCGTCAAGGGCCGTGCAAGTTGAGGGCTCCAAATATGCACTTTGGGTCTGATTTCACCGTGCACAACTGTATTTGCATTGCTACAGTGAGTGCAGCAGTTATTGCTGCAACGTACCAGTCCAGTGCCAAAGAGACGAGCAAATGATGAATTCAGATAGTTTATCAAGTGCGTTGTTGCTTTTGTTGTTCCACTCATGTTGCTGTTATTGTTGTTATGACTGTTTCTCTTCGTGTACATGTTCAGGGACTTGGGTGATATTGGAGCAGACATCAAGGTTCACCAGTTGACGCGGGTGAGTTGTTCATAGTACAATGTACGCATGTGTGTATGCGTGTGTCCCCGCCCGTACGGGTGCAAGTGTGTATGCGTGTGTCCCCGCCCGTACGGGTGCAAGTGTGTATGCGTGTGTCCGCGCCCGTACGTGTGCATGTGTGTACATATAAGTGTTTTAACAGTTTTAGTGTGCTGCCGCTATTGTGTTGCTGCTGCCGCTGTTGTGTTGCTGCTGCCGCTATTGTGTTGCTGCTGCCGCTGTTGGCTGTTGCTGTTGATATTGTTGTTGGTGTTGTTGTTGGTGTTGCTGTTGATATTGCTGTTGTTGTTGTTGCTCTTGGTGTTGCTGTTGATATTGCTGTTTATATTGTTGTTGATATTGCTGTTGGTGTTGCTGTTGGCTGTTGCTGTTGCTGTTGATATTGCTGTTGATATTGCTGTTGATATTGCTGTTGATATTGCTGTTGATATTGCTGTTGATATTGCTGTTGTTGTCATTAGTGTCTTTGCTACTGTCGAGCTCATCATGGTTCTTGTCATTGCTGTGCCTATCCTCTCTATCTTCTCCTCTTCTCTCCTCTTCTCTTCTCTTCTTTCCTCTCCATAGCTGAAGTACACGCGGAACACCACCGAGCCAATACCGCGAGACATGCGCAAGGGCGTGATGTTTGGCACTTACTCAGCGCTGATCGGAGAGACCACTGGTTCGTCCAACCCTCAGCGTCGCTTGGATCGCCTCATTGACTGGTGCACAGCCGACTCAAAGGGAGAAAGTAGTCCGGAGAAAAGAGAAAACTTTGAAGGAGTCGTATCCTCACAGTCAAGCCTAGGGCCGGGTTGTCAAGCCTAGGGCTGGGTTGCTTTGCAGTATTCTTAGAGCAAGACTGACACTGCTTGTTTAGGATTCGCTGTATGGGTTTGTCTAGCCATAGGTATGTTTCATGGCCTCTGGTTGGTGGGTCTGATCTATCCCCCCCCCCCCCCCCCCCCACCGTTTAGGAGCCGCATGTGTCGCCTGATCATGGGGTGGTGGCGTCCTACGGAAGCGGAAAGGTGGTTCTTGACCCGTCCTGTACGCGAACCCGTGCAAAAAATAAAGAGAGAAAAGGCGTATTTGCACGCAGAACACTACAGCAACGTTCTGTCCGTATTGCCTGTAGTAGCGACGGTGCCTAGTTCTAGTTCCCTGGGCATGGGTGACAGTCGATTGGGTTGCCTGTTGCGTAGCGAGGGTCCCTGATTCTAGTCCCCTAGGCATGGGTGACAGTCGACTGGGTTGCCTGTAGTGGCGAGGATCCCTGATTCCACTCCCCCTGGGTGACAGGTGGCTCTTTTTCTTCAGACTTTTCTCCCTTTTCGGTCCCTCGAACTGATGGGTGTGTGGAGTCGCTGAAAGTGAGAATGTAGCCGGCGAGAATTTCGTAATATTGTTAGACCACCAGTGGTTGGAAGGAGAACGTTTATGTTCCTTCCTGGCATGTTGCCTTTGTGTGCGTGTTTTATAATTGTATTGATTTGTCGCTATCCTTGACTTGCACGTGGACACACGTACACACCCGCCACCGCGTACCTGTACACAGCTGGTATTTGACGAGTGTCACAAAGCGAAAAACCTGCTACCAAAGAATGCCTCCAAGCCCAGCAAGACTGGTCAGTGTGTGCTGGAGATTCAGAAGCGCTTGCCGAAAGCTCGTGTGGTCTACTGCAGTGCCACGGGCGCGTCCGAACCGCGTCATATGGCCTACATGACGCGTCTGGGTATCTGGGGCAAGGGCACGCAATTCCCCGGCTTCAACGATTTCCTGAGTGCCGTGGAAAAACGCGGCGTCGGCGGTATGGAACTTGTTGCCATGGATATGAAGCTCCGTGGCATGTACGTAGCGCGCCAGCTGAGTTTCAAAGGTTCGAAGTTCGATATCGTGGATGTGCCGCTCGATCCCAAGTTCAAGATGATGTACGACGACTCCGTCCAGCTGGTTAGTAATCTGTGTGCATGTGTGTGTGTGCACGTGCGCATGTGTGTGTGCATGTGTGTGTGTGTGCGTGTGTGTACGTGCATGTGTATAACTTATCTGCCCATACATGCATGCGACCTGGGATATTAGCTTATCAGATCTCCACTGTTTTCAGTTACTGCCACTGGCACATGATTTCTCCACATTTTCAAGTGAATCAGAACCCTATGTCGTTTGTTGTTATCCTGAATCCTCTTTAGTCAATAGAACTACATACTACAGTAGTATTATCATATCTTACTCTATGAAACATGATTATTATAGCAGAGAGATCTGTAACTGTTAGCATGGACATGTCCTTAGCCAGCGAAAACCCATGTCTTTTAAAACATGCTTTATCAAGGTTTTACTGTTGTTGATCGTTTGTGTTGTTTCTGTGTGAACGTGTTGTTTTAAATCTGTGTTGCTGCTGCTGCCGCCGCCGCTACTGCTGCTGCTGCTGCTGTGGCTGCTGTTGCTGCTGTTGCTGCTGCTGCTGCTGCTGCTGCTGTGGCTGTTGCCGCTTTTGTTGTCGTCTTCGCTGCTGTCGCCACCACTCCTGCCGTTGTCGGTCGTTGTCTCTGCCATTGCAAAACCTCAGTGGGTCAAGGCAAGAAGTAGCTTTCACACGGCGCAACAACTTGCCAGTTTGCCGAGCAGAGAGACCAAGACGATGTGGGCACAATTCTGGTCAGCTCATCAGGTAATAATTGCCTCACTCTGTTCATACCCGTTCCTCTCTGTTTGTTGTGCTTTTGTGTTTATATCGGAATCCATTTGTGCTTGTGTTTATATCCGTTTGTGTGTCTGTTTTGAGAGAGAGAGGGGGGGGGGGGGAGAGAGAGAGAGAGAGAGAGAGAGAGAGAGAGAGAGAGAGAGAGAGAGAGAGAGAGAGAGAGAGAGAGAGAGAGAGAGAGAGAGAGGGGGGGAGAGAGAGGGAGAGAGAGGGAGAGAGAGGGAGAGAGAGAGAGAGAGAGAGAGAGAGAGAGAGAGAGAGAGAGAGAGAGAGAGAGAGAGAGAGAGAGAGAGAGAGAGAGAGAGAGAGAGAGAGAGAGGTGTAGGGGTAGGGGTAGGGGGCATAGAAGGTGACTGAAGTTGAGTTGCTTGCATATCTTCTGCCTCTCTTATTCAGCTGGTAGTACGCAGAGCGTCATATCTGTTTTTGTTGTTGTGGTGTTTGCTTGTTGTGTTTAGCGTTTCTTCAAGTACCTGTGTATCGCGGCAAAGGTGAAGCATGTTGTTAATGTAGCTCAGAAGGCAATTGAACAGAACAAGGTACGTGTATGTGTACTGTCCTCAGTAGGAACCAGTGCTAGCAATAGCCCCAGCACTAGCTGTACTAGTAGCAGTAGTACTAGTAGCAGTAGCAACCAGTGCTAGCTGTACTAGTAGCAGTAGCAACCAGTGCTAGCAATAGCCCCAGCACTAGCTGTACTAGTACTAGTAGTACTAGTAGCAGTTACAGCACCAATTTTGCTGTTTTCTTTTTTGAATTCTTTGCTCTTCCTGCATTCATGTCATCATTGGTTTGTGTATTCAATAAAACACTGTTTAGTAGCAATTGCAGTACCAGTGGTATCATCCAGGGAGGTCTTTAGGCGAATCATCCTGGGAGGTCTTTAGGCGCATCATCCTGGGAGGTCTTTAGGCGAATCATCCTGGGAGGTCTTTAGGCGAATCATCCTGGGAGGTCTTTAGGCGAATCATCCTGGGAGGTCTTTAGGCGAATCATCCTGGGAGGTCTTTAGGCGAATCATCCTGGGAGGTCTTTAGGCAAATCATCCTGGGAGGTCTTTAGGCGCATCATCCTGGGAGGTCTTTAGGCGCATCATCCTGGGAGGTCTTTAGGCGAATCATCCTGGGAGGTCTTTAGGCGAATCATCCTGGGAGGTCTTTAGGCGAATCATCCTGGGAGGTCTTTAGGCGAATCATCCTGGGAGGTCTTTAGGCGAATCATCCTGGGAGGTCTTTAGGCGAATCATCCTGGGAGGTCTTTAGGCGAATCATCCTGGGAGGTCTTTAGGCGAATCATCCTGGGAGGTCTTTAGGCGAATCATCCTGGGAGGTCTTTAGGCGAATCATCCGGGGAGGTCTTTATAGGCGAATCATCCTGGGAGGTCTTTAGGCGAATCATCCTGGGAGGTCTTTAGGCGAATCATCCTGGGAGGTCTTTAGGCGAATCATCCTGGGAGGTCTTTAGGCGAATCATCCTGGGAGGTCTTTAGGCGAATCATCCTGGGAGGTCTTTAGGCGAATCATCCTGGGAGGTCTTTAGGCGAATCATCCTGGGAGGTCTTTAGGCGAATCATCCTGGGAGGTCTTTAGGCGAATCATCCTGGGAGGTCTTTAGGCGAATCATCCTGGGAGGTCTTTAGGCGAATCATCCTGGGAGGTCTTTAGGCGAATCATCCTGGGAGGTCTTTAGGCGAATCATCCGGGGAGGTCTTTAGGCGCATCAGTGGAACTGTAGTGGTGAGAGTCGTTCACCTGCTTTTGTACGCGATATTATGGTAATTTGGCAGTTTGTGACTGTGACTGAACTTTAAGTGTGTGTGTGTGTGTGTGCGTGTGTGTGTGTGTGTTTGTTGTACTGTTTGTTTGTTTGTGTTTTCGCAGTGCGTTGTCATTGGTCTTCAGTCGACAGGGGAAGCAAGAACATTGGACCAGATTGAAGGAAAGGATCGCACAAAACTGGACGACTTCATCTCCACTGCGAAGTAAGTGTGTGTGTGTCTGTGTCTGTGTCTGGGTGTGTGTCTGTGTGTGTGTGTGTGTGTGTGTATGTTTGTGTGTGCCTCTCTGTGTGCCTTTGCGTCTGTTTGTTTGTGTGTGTCAGTCTGTCTGTATGCATACCTGCTGCTGTCAGCACAGTCTATGCACAGTTCTCTCTGCTATCAAGCATACTGAGAAGCATATCATCAATCTCTCAGCCACGGCGTTTTGACAAGTTGCCGTCGACTGCCCAATTGGCAAGTTGCTAGTGCCTCTGGTTGGTGGATTGGGTCTGACCTATCCTCCCCCACCGTTTAGTGGTGGATTGGGTCTGACCTATCCTCCCCCCCCCCCCCCACCGTTTAGGAGGCGCATCTGATGCCTGATCATGGGGTGGTGGTGTCCCATGTCCTATGCCTGATCATGGGGTGGTTCCTGATCATGGGGTGGTGGCTGATCATGGGGTGGTGCCTGATCATGGGGTGGTTCCTGATCATGGGGTGGTGCCTGATCATGGGGTGGTGCCTGATCATGGGGTGGTGGCTGATCATGGGGTGGTGGCTGATCATGGGGTGGTGCCTGATCATGGGGTGGTGGCTGATCATGGGGTGGTGGCTGATCATGGGGTGGTGGCTGATCATGGGGTGGTGGCTGATCATGGGGTGGTGGCTGATCATGGGGTGGTGGCTGATCATGGGGTGGTGGCTGATCATGGGGTGGTGGCTGATCATGGGGTGGTGGCTGATCATGGGGTGGTGGCTGATCATGGGGTGGTGCCTGATCATGGGGTGGTGGCTGATCATGGGGTGGTGGCTGATCATGGGGTGGTGGCTGATCATGGGGTGGTGGCTGATCATGGGGTGGTGGCTGATCATGGGGTGGTGGCTGATCATGGGGTGGTGGCTGATCATGGGGTGGTGCCTGATCATGGGGTGGTGGCTGATCATGGGGTGGTGCCTGATCATGGGGTGGTGGCTGATCATGGGGTGGTGGCTGATCATGGGGTGGTGGCTGATCATGGGGTGGTGGCTGATCATGGGGTGGTGGCTGATCATGGGGTGGTGGCTGATCATGGGGTGGTGGCTGATCATGGGGTGGTGGCTGATCATGGGGTGGTGGCTGATCATGGGGTGGTGGCTGATCATGGGGTGGTGGCTGATCATGGGGTGGTGGCTGATCATGGGGTGGTGGCTGATCATGGGGTGGTGGCTGATCATGGGGTGGTGGCTGATCATGGGGTGGTGGCTGATCATGGGGTGGTGGCTGATCATGGGGTGGTGGCTGATCATGGGGTGGTGGCTGATCATGGGGTGGTGGCTGATCATGGGGTGGTGGCTGATCATGGGGTGGTGGCTGATCATGGGGTGGTGGCTGATCATGGGGTGGTGGCTGATCATGGGGTGGTGGCTGATCATGGGGTGGTGGCTGATCATGGGGTGGTGGCTGATCATGGGGTGGTGGCTGATCATGGGGTGGTGGCTGATCATGGGGTGGTGGCTGATCATGGGGTGGTGGCTGATCATGGGGTGGTGGCTGATCATGGGGTGGTGGCTGATCATGGGGTGGTGGCTGATCATGGGGTGGTGGCTGATCATGGGGTGGTGGCTGATCATGGGGTGGTGGCTGATCATGGGGTGGTGGCTGATCATGGGGTGGTGGCTGATCATGGGGTGGTGGCTGATCATGGGGTGGTGGCTGATCATGGGGTGGTGGCTGATCATGGGGTGGTGGCTGATCATGGGGTGGTGGCTGATCATGGGGTGGTGGCTGATCATGGGGTGGTGGCATTGTCCCATGTCCTATGTACAGTAAAACCTGTCAAGGCAGCGACCACTCGGTTAAGGTGACCACCTGTCCAAGAAGACCACTGCAACCAGGACCAAGGGATGCTATTTCCAGTCAAATGACCCTTGTCGGGGAATCTCAAGCACGCACACAGAGTGCACCCGACACAACGAACACCTACTCAGTTCATATGGTTTACAAAGTTGAATGCATGATAGGATTAAAGTAACGGGAAGAGAAATAAAAAGTCGAAACTGCCTTCATGCCATTGCAATAATAATTACAACCACTGAACACCGCGTGGTTGACAGCTCTATGTGCTCAGGGGGTGCATGCATGCGTGCACAGCACACCCACACGTAATGAGTCTGAAGCACATGCCAGTACGTAATATTAGGACGTGACGTGGCAACGTGATACTAGTACACCCTGGATAAGGAGACCACCTGGTAACAGAGACCACATTTTGAAGGTCCCTTGAGCGGCCGGCTCAGCCAGGTTTCACTGAATATGTGACTGCGTGTGTTTGTGTTATTACAATGCAGGGGTGTCGTACAGTCACTCATCGACAAGCACTTTCCTCGCCTGGACAAGCAAGAAGAGCTTATGTTTGCAACGGGAAAAGGACAGAAACGGCGGAATGGAAGTAAGTTCAACGCTTTTCTTTTCTTGTTTCAACCTTCCTGTTCTAGGATAATTCTGGCAGAGAGCTAGTTGCTAGTTTGTGAGAAAACAGCGAGCCAGAGCAGCAAGCAAGCGTGGAACAACAAATGCTTGAAAGTAAAATCGGTACGCACAGGCAGTTTAGTGAGCTAGCTGCCATGCTAACTGACGTCAGTGAAGGGCGCGCAGCCCCCGGTCGTGTTTGCAACATGTGCACGTGGTCGCATGCACAGACAGTGACAAGGCCAGCGTATCAGCTGTGGTATGGGTATGGAACAAGTGCAAATTGGACCCTATGCAACAGAGCCAGCTGAGAGGGTGTTACGTGACTGTTAACTACAGTTAATGCTTCGCATAAACTGATAGTTAATGGGTCTTCTTCTTCAACGTCCGCCATCTGTCGACGCACTGTTTACCGTTCTTCCCATTGACACCGATGCCGAACTCGGACGGCTTCGGTTGCTTGGCGTTGGTCAATGGCCAACGTTTTCGTATGAAATCATCCATGTTTGCCGTAAATGGCTGCCGTGACTTCTGCGCTAATTCCGATGATTTGAATTGAGTTTGTGAGTTGAGGCGCTGGAGAATAGATAACAAAAAAGACAAAATATCCATTTCAATAACTGCAATCTTTCTAATAAACAGATAAAGTAATCACCATTACTAGGGTTAGGGTTAGGGCTAGGGAATACAATAAAACATTGATTACATTATAAATCATACACTTACAGTGGCATACTTGACTTCTTCTTTGTCAGCCTCGTCCTCCTGGTCCTCCTCGCTTGAGAGTCCAAAAATGTCCTCCACCAGATCATCCTGTAAACATCTAGAAAACACAACAGTAGAGAACAATACCAAGAAACTACTTGATAGGCAATAGTTGTCTTGACAACACATTACAGCAACCAATCCAAGGTATAATTATATCTAATAAACTTACACCTGGTTGGTCATCTCCTTCTTCTTCATCTCCCGAAGTTAAGATAACGCTCGGGTATACTTCAGGAGTATAGCTTGACACAACTTCAATATCCTCCTCCTCTGCACATGGTTCCTCCTCTTCTGTATCCTCCTCCTCAGTGCTAGGTAGGACACAACTTGACCTTACTCAAGGATCCACAGAAAGTTTCAAACGGCACTCGTGCGACTGGAGCTGCAAGTGGGTCCACTTACCAGCGAGTGGGCAGCCACTTCACGCTCCACAGGTAGTCCATGCTAAATTCCAGTACCAGTACTAGTATCACTACGTTCGACATCGATGTCTTCACTGACTTCAGCCTGCTTTTCTCACCCTTCTTCGTCACTAATATTTTGTTCTTCGTGGCCACCGCGTACCGCTTCAGCAAAGTTTTCAGAAAAAATCAAGCAGCGTAGGAACTGCCTTTGTTTTGCATTATCCAAGGCCAGTGATTCTTTCCAGCGTAGAAACTGCCACGGCTACAGAAACACTGCAACGAGTAGAACTACATCGTTGGAACAACTGCGAGCACAGAGAAATCAAAAAAAACTTATTTTTGAACACCAGCTTGTTTCCGCATGTGGAACGCAATATTATTTCAAGGAGGTTGGGGACAGTTTAGGCCAAATTTCATAATCGTAATATTTTGATGTGAACAGATTTTTTGGATTCTTAGGTACCTTAGGGTGCGTTTGGTTGGTACGATCTAGAACAGGATCGAACAGCTGGTGCACATGGAGCAGCCTCATGCCAACCAAACGGTACTTCAAAAACAGAGCATATTTTGTGAAAAATATGCCAAACTTGGTGCATTCTTCAAAATGTGTATGGATCACCATGGTCACTTTGTACGGTACGACGAGTCTAACCCCAAAGCGTATGCACGTGATCATTTGGGACCAAAATCCATGTTTCCGCCAGGTTTCACTGTGAAAAAGTGAAACTGCTTGGTCTGCTCCGGCCTCGAGGCCGGAGCAAGCAGAACATGTTCTGGCCGACCCAGAACAGGTGCAGTCCCAACCAAACGCGCTGTTCTGGTGAATCCTGTTCTAGTTCGTACCAACCAAACGCGCCCCAAGGTTTCAAATTCTGAAATAAAAAAGGGTGGTCCCCATATCCGTTTTGTCAACTTCAACCACTTTTCTACCCCTAGTTTTTACGGACATTGCTGGGTGGTTGCACATTTTCTACTACATGTATATCTTTATAATCTCTTGCAGCATTGCATTGAAACTTTCGGGAATACAAACCGACTCGGTTTGGATTGTAAAGAAAGTGGGAAAATGTCACTGGGACTAAGCACTCCACCGAAAATTGCAAAATGCAGAGCTGGGTTTTTCCTCGAAAAAGGAGAAAAGAAAGTGATTTCTCACATGATTTCCAACGTATTATTTTTATGAACATGGGTTTATGGGATCCTTTCATGGAAAGGAACAGGTTTGCCAAATAAAAAACAGGGTGTCCCCATATTTGGTGAGACAACAAACACTACTAATGTAGGAAAGAATGGCAATAAATAAGATAAATTGTGCACTCATAACAACAGCAAAAATGAAGAAAGTCAAGTTCCATAACGTTTTCTTGTGACTGTCATCAGTGGAACGCCGTCACATAAAAATGTAATAACTAAAACACACACTTATATACATGTAGCTAATATGGTTTCAGGTAGAAATACAGCAGCTAACAAGTACAAAAAGCGAAGTTTGCACCTTTGCAATGTGTGAATATAGTGTATGTGAGAAAGGTAGTGGCAGATGAATGTGATACTGTGTGAATGAATGTAACTGCAGGTGTTGGAAGCTGTGTATATTCGTACTCGTGACCCTGTGCTATGTAAACAGAAAGAAAACGTTGTATCACTCACACTCTTCAAGTAATACACACGCACCATTACATTCATTCACACAGTATCACATTCATCTGCCACTACCTTTCTCACATACACTATATTCACACATTGCAAAGGTGCAAACTTCGCTTTTTGTACTTGTTAGCTGCTGTATTTCTACCTGAAACCATATTAGCTACATGTATATAAGTGTGTGTTTTAGTTATTACATTTTTATGTGACGGCGTTCCACTGATGACAGTCACAAGAAAACGTTATGGAACTTGACTTTCTTCATTTTTGCTGTTGTTATGAGTGCACAATTTATCTTATTTATTGCCATTTTACGACTATTGTCTCCTCGTCGATTGTTTAAATGTAGGAAAGATGTCGTATTTTGATACTGTATTTTCAGCCATGCAAACTGGCTCAATTTGATTGGTGAAAAAAGGTACCGTATTTCCGCGCATATAAAGCCATGGCGTTATAGGTGAAACATCGCTGTTTTGGACTAAATGTTTGGAGAAAATAGCCTCGGTTTTAACGCCATGGCGCTAAAAGTGAGAGACGCTTACGTGAAAAAAATCGGCAGAGTATGAACTTCGAGTACTCGTATGGTGCCGTTGCACGTTCATGTCGAGCATCCATATACTTTCAATTTTCCCTGAAAATTTCAAATTGTGAACCTATTGTGTACAAGGTGGCATACAAACTTGTGTGAAGGTGCGGTGGCGGTATGGCATGTGACAGTGGGGATGGGTACATATAGAGAGAATCATCGCTACTGTAGGTTCACTGAAAGAATTGAACTCACCTTTAACGCCGGATGCAACTTCCTCCACATTGAATTTTGTTCACTTATAACGCCATGGCTTTATAAGTGAGGGTGGCCTTATATTCGGATATAACGCCATGGCTTTATATGCGCGGAAATACGGTAAAAACAACCAATTGAAAGAAAAAGAAAATTGCCCATATTGGGATTCGAACCCAGAAACCTTTTGAGTTGGGCAAGAAAAAAGAAAAAAAGGTTACCGAAAGTGGGGTTCGGTATTGGCCAAAATGGCGATAACTGTCGCGAACCTCCTGAATCTCGCGGCAAAAAAACAGATTTTGGAGGTGCCCTTTTTACACTGCACTGCGCAACTGTTCGGAGCCTCCTTAGGCCGCGGTCACACATGAAAAGCTTGCACCGCTTTTGCGGAGGCGAAAAGCGTGACTACCGCAGCCGCCTTGGCGGAACACACGATGCAGCGGTCACGCATACATGTACACTACTCAGTCTACTCTGCTCCTCAACTCTCCGCTTTGGCGGAGGGAATGCAAATGCAGCACGTCCTATGGAATTTTAGATGTTCTTGTCCGAGTTGAAGCGACCTTCGCTTGTACAAGTAGAGCTATCATGGATCGCTGACAGGCTGCTGAATGTCTCCTGTCAAGTGCACTCGTGGATTTGGGGCACATTCACTGCGGCCCAGTACAGGTGTATTTGAATATTAGTTTAGTTTACATCAATATCAAATTCAAATAGTTGTATAGCAGGGTGTCGTTGCCTCCTCCATGATCCATCATCGACCCCAGCGACTGCGTGGATGCCTGCAGTTGCAGTGAGGGTGTGGCAGAGTACTCTACTACTCCCTGGTTGCAGTCCTAGTGTTGCATACTCTGGTGGACGCATTGCTTGGAGAGAGTTGGAGATCGTCCGCGATCGGGGCCAATGAGTTGGGAGACGGATTCCCTCACCAACTATCCACTCATAACGATGCAGTATCGTTTGCGAGATCTCCAGAACGTACAGTACATTGGCAAAGAAGAACATTATGAAAATTGAATACCAAACGGCAACCAAACAACACCAGAACTCAGCGCAGAAGTAGCACACCAAACTCCGAAGCCATCACCACGCAGGTTCCGCCAAAGCGGATCCGCGAAAGCGGAGGTTCCGCTCGCATTTTTTTGGCGTAGCGAAATCCAAACCTTCCGCCAAAAAAAGTGCATGTGTGACCACGGCCTTAATTGGCATTTTTTGACAAATGCGTAAAATTTGCTACGCTCTTCATCTTACCCTACATGGCACTACCTAGTTACCCTTTGCTTTGCGAATAGTAGTCCGGAGTTCGAGACGGGCTCGTATTTTTTCAAACGGTTGTAAGGGGGCTTCTAATCGAGTACGGTAACAGTGTATTGATTTGCTTGCTTTTGTCTTGAACAACAACGGTTAGAAGGAAGTGTTGCACATCTCTGCTGCAAATTGGTTTGAATGGTTCTTGGATGCTTCATCTGTTGTGTGCATGTGTTGTCCATGTGTTGTGTGTGTGTGCGTGTTTGTTCACGTGCCCACGTGCATACATGTTGTACGTGCTGTAGGCTATCCCAGCCAGCACCCGGATGATTCTCTGGGAGCGCTGGGTGATTCTCAGACCGAGGGTAATGGGACCGTTATGAAGTGACTGTGTGTCTTTTCCTGGTCTCTTCTCACACCTACCCTTCCCTACTCCTCCACTCTCCCCCACACACTCCTTCACTCTCCCTCGCACTCCTTCACTCTCCCTCTCTCCTTTACCCACACTCCCACCCCACCCCACCCTACCCTACGCTTCCTCCCTCCTTTTCACAATTCCTTCTCTTTGTTGTCTTGCTGTTTTGCTGTTGTGTTGTGTTGTCTTGTTTGTTGTTGTGTTGTCTTGTTTGTTGTTTTGTCGTCTTGTTTGTTGTTTTGTCGTCTTGTTTGTTGTTTTGTCGTCTTGTTTGTTGTTTTGTCGTCTTGTTTTGCTGTCCGCTGTCTTACTGGTTTGCTGTCTTACTGTTTTGCTGTTTTGCTGTTACCGGTTTGCTGTTACCGGTTTGCTGTTCTGTTGTTTTGCTATGTGATGTCTTGTTGTCTTACTGTTTTGCTGTTTTGTTGTCTTGTCTGCTGTTTTTCTGTTTTTCTGTCTTGCTGTCTTACTGTTGTACTGGTGTACTTGGCAATGCGACGCCATTCAGAGTCCTCTTGTGCATCGGAAGTGGACGACAATGACGA